TCCCAAGTAGCTGGGACCACAGGCGCCCGCCACAACGCCCGGCTATTTTTTGGTTGCAGTCATCACTGTTGTTTGGCGGCCCGGGCTGGGGATTCGAACCCGCCACCTTAGGTGTATGTGGCTGGCGCCTTAGCCACTTGAGCCACAGGTGCCGAGCCTATACTGGGTTTTCTAATGTAATTACCTTGGTTAATAATTACCCCAGAGTAACATGTAGGAATGGAGCAAGGATACTGTCTTATGAGCTGTTTGTGTTAATCCTTGTTTATATTTTTAAAAAGAAAGAAGAGAAACCCCAAAACTTTTTAATGAGTGTTCCCCATTTGCACAAAATGTAGCAATATATGGTTTAAAATGAGGAAAGAGGAGCGAGCTTGTCAATTAAAAACTATTGAAATGCTAAATTTATGTATGACTCCTTTTTAAGGTGGAATCTGCAGATATTTGGAAAACTGAAGTTGCTGTATTTACTTCTAAGGAAAGATACTTCTTAAAAGGAGAAGGAAGGGGAGGGGAAGAGAACTAGTTTTCCCAGTTTCTATAATTAACCTAGGCAGTTAAAAATTAGTTGGAAATCATTAGAAGTTACATAGAAAGCAGAACTACATTAATTCAAGAAACACGTGAAATATGCACCCAGATTAAGAACGGAAAACAGAAAATACATATCCTGAGTTTTACCAAAACTACAGTATTTAAAATGAAGCACTCAAATGTTAGGAAACATATGATTTTCTGGGTGTATCAAACCCCTGTGATTACTGGATTTCTTTGCTGTCATTTACGTACTCTGAACTTCCATTGTGGGCACTTGGAGTTAATATTTCAATTGAAAAACTAACACACTGGCTCAATGCCTGTAGCTCAGGCGGCGAAGGTGCCAGCCACGTACACTGGAGCTGGCGGTTTCAAATCCAGCCTGGGCCTGCCAAACAACAAGGACAGCTATAACCAAAAAATAGCTGGGTGTTGTTAAGCCCAAGAATTGGAGGTTGCTGTGAGCTGTGGCACCATAGCACTCTAACCCAGGGTATGAGACTCTGTCTCAAAAAAAGAAAGAAAGAAAAGAAAAAGAAAAACTAACGTACCAGTAAAAACGGCCCTGTGTTGAGCTAATCATTTAGTCCCAGTCTCATGGGAAATACTGGATATTCTTTGAGTTAATAGAGTGTGAAATGACTTTAAGGCTTCAAGGGAAATATACTGTACCAGTCTTGCAAATTGTTTATAGAAACAATGGCCTATCTTATCCCATTTTGCATCAGAAATTTTAATTGGCTTAGTTATTTCCTTTTTCTCCAAATTCCTTTTATGGCAAAGAGAAAATGAGGACCTATTGCAGCCAGCATGGCTGAGGACACAAATCAGTCCCAGTGAAAACCAAGAGAGGGATGGGTTGGGTCGCAGTTTGCTGCACAGGTCCCGAAGTCAGATTTTAATAGATTTATCATCAATTTATTTGGAATTTGGGCACTTAGCCGCCAATAATGTTGGGAGTCTAACTGAGAATCTGCTTCGTGGAGTCCTAAGATTGTCAGTTGCATTCAAGTGGCGTTACTGTTGTTATCTCTCTGACCCCAGGAGAGCGGCCAGCCCCGTGCAGACCTTTGGTGTGAGGGGAGACACCTTCCACAGCCTGGGTTTCTTCTGACTGCCCAAGATCTACAAAGGAAACTGTAGACAGACCTTCATATTTTACATTTTAAGTACAACTAGGCTTTGTCCACAATCAAACAGAAATAGCACATCTGTTTGGGAAACACAGTTAGCACATAACTGTGTCTAATCTAGTTTTGTTTCTTAAAGGAGCATGAAGAGAGGTTTATTTTTGTATCATACAAACCATGTTTTTATCTCCTGTAGCCCACACGGTTCACAACCACATCTAGTGTGTCCTATCTCCGTTCCCCCTGCTACCTAAATACATGTTCCTACACAACCCACACATGCTCGTGCACACATGCTCCCACCCGCTTCTCCACTAGTCTGAAACACTATCTAGCTCTGTTATTCTTGGGGATTTCTTCAAGCATGTTTACATCAAAATTCTTGCTGATCCCAGGCAAAGCCTCCCTGCTATATTCTAGCTACAGGGGCCATCGGTTTCCCCAAATGCTTTCTTTCATCTGTCTGTTGGGAAACCACCTAAGCCTACTTCAGGAAGTAAAATAATTCAGAACAAATTTGGGGTGCAAAGATTTGTGTTGTTTACTTAACCAGCTGACACGGACCTTCACTGAGACTTGGTAGGAATGAAAAGTACATCCTTAAAAGAATCCTGGCCTTCCCTTACACTATGTACAAAAACTCACTCAAAATGGATGAAACCCTAAATGTAAAATCTCAAACTATAAAAATCTTAGAAGAAAATCTAAAGGGAAAGCTTCATGATATTGAATTTGGTAATGAATTACTGGATGACACCAATCAGAATTAAAAACTTCTGTTCATCAAAGGACACTGTCAAGAGAGTGAAAAGGCTTCCCATGGTGTAGGAGAAAATATTTGCAAACTGTATGCTTGATAAGGGATTAGTATCCAGAATATATAAAGAACTCCAATGATGACAACCAAAAAAAGCAAACAACCTAATTGAAAATGAGCAAAGGATTTAAATAGGTATTTCTCCAAAGAAGGTAGATACCCAATAAGAACATGAAAAGATGCTCAACATCATTAATCATTAAGGAAATACAAATCAAAGCCACACTGATATACTACTTCACATGTATTATAATAGCCACTGTCAAAAAAACAGAAGAAGTGTGAATGAGAATGTGGAGAGACTGAACCCTTGTTCACTGCTGGTCAAAATGTAAAATGGCACAGCTGCTATGGAAAATAGTAATGGTGGTACTTCAAAACAGCAGCAAAAACATAAGACACACCACCTGAACCAGCAATTCTACCACTGGGTATATGTCCAAAATAACTGAAAGCAAAACTCAAACAGATATTTGTACACTACTGCTCATAGCACTATTATTCATAATACTCCCCCCCCCCATGCAAACAAACCCAACGGCAATAGATGGAGGAGACTAACATGACAGTTATTTTTATCTCGTATAACAGGTAAGGAAATAGAAACTTAGAGAAGGTATGAGGATTGCTGAAAAACACAAAATACTATCCCACTGAATCCATTCTAGCTTGTACAAAGAACCCTTCCTTATGTCTCACACATTGAAAGACAGTCTGATTGAAACACTGTGGACCTCTTTTTGTGGGGGTGACTGGGCAGATTTATAAGCAACATGTGATTATTTTGGGGGTCGTAACTCCTAGGAAGATGCTCACAGATACATACAGAAGCAGCTGTTTTCCTGTAGGCTACAAAGATGTAAAAGTGTCCAAAAAGGTAAAGATTTATATCATGGGTTCCAAATGACTTAACATGTTGTATCTGGCACTAACGGTCCTCTATACGCATGCCGGGGATACATTGTCTACGCAGCAGACAACTTGGTTGATAGGAAAGAAAATTTATATTCTTCTTTAAGTGGAAAAGAAAAGATCCCAGGAGATGTACTCACCAAAAACTACCGATTTGCTTTGTCTGGTCCTTTGTAAGATGCAGAATGAGAGGATACAGGCAAATTCGGGCAGCTTGCTGGTGGCTCTCTAGAATTCAGTTTTCAGAGTGCCCTTTGAGGCAAGTCCTAGAGGGGGGAAAAACAGAAATGTTTTCTATTTCATATATGCATTAGAAATTGCGGGGGGGGGGGTTCATCAGAAAATGAGATACCATTACTCTGCAAACGAAGAAATGTGAGCCTTCATCCTATTCTAGAAGAAACAGGGACCAGTAATAAGAAAATGACCATTTCTCCCACTTGTTGCATTTTTTTTTCTAGTTTTTGGCCGGGGCTGGGTTTGAACCTGCCACCTCCAGCACTGGGGCTGATGCCCTGCTCCTTTGAGCCATAGGCGCTGCCCTCACTTGTTGCATTTTTCTCTCTGCCTTTTTAGAGCACACAGGACTTCGACACGGACAGAATGTTTAGGAAGGAATACAGACGTAGCCTGTGTTTTATACTTATGATCCCATTAAAAGATGAAGTAGGGCCCTATGGAGAAAATAATATCTAGCTCATGGCCTCCAAGCCCGTTGGGGGCTTATGCTACATAATCACTAACAGTTCATCACAGTTTTCCTACAGATTTCAGAGGGGGTCCCCAAACCCACTGAAACAAGTATTCTAGCTATCCACTATCAGAGTTGTCATGAAAGAGACTTATCCTGCCCCCAAATATATCCCTAAGACTCTTTTGAGGATGTTCTTTGTATGGAGAGGCCTATGAAAACTACAATTTGAGGTTCCAGTATAATCTTAAAAGTCATGATATAGAAAATATTCAAATGAAAAGGATTTGAAAGTTCAAGACAAAGTTGATTTCAGATGAGGCATTAAAATATATCCTAAGGGTGGCACCTGTAGCTCAGGCGACTAAGGCGCCAGCCACATACACCAGAGCTGGTGAGTTCTTATCCAGCCCAGGCCTGCCAAACAATGACAACTACAACCAAAAAATAGCCGGGCGTGTGGTAGGCACCTGTAGTCCCAGCTACTGGGGAGGCTGAAGCAAGAGAATCGCTTAAGCCCAGGAGTTTGAGGTTGCTGTGAGCTGTGATGCCACAGCACTCTACCCAGGGCGATAGCTTGAGGCTCTATCTCAAAAACAAACAAACAAATACTAAAAACAACTGATATATATATCTCCTAGGCACATCATTTTATTTTTACTTTAAATGTGGAAATATAATCTGCCTGATTCTCTCAACTGCTGACAGTCCTCATCAAGCCATCTGAGCTCCAAACGACTTGTAAGTGTCCAGATGTGTAAGATTCAGTACGGCACAGTGGGTGCAACACCAAACTGGGAGACAGGCGGGTAGTTTTAACTCTAGCTCTGCCAGGCCCTGTTCTGTGATTTTAGGCAAATCTTTTCATCTCTCTGAGCCAAAGTTTGCTTCCCTGAAAAAATAAAAGAATTGGACTATCAGTAGTTTTCACACTTTTTTTTTCTTCTTTTTTCTTTCTTTTTTTTTTTTGGTAATAGTACCCTTTCTTCCACCAAAAATCTAAGTAGATACAGAAGCACATAAAACCAATAAAACAAGAGCTGGCTGAGTGCAGGTAAGGGATTAAATGTGTGTGTGTCGGGGGGGAGGCAGAAGGGTGCCTCTAGCTCCATCATCCTTTGTGGTCCAGTGGGAACTCTATAGGACCTTTAGAATTCCATAGAGCATAATTGGAAACTTCTGAATTAAATGGTCTCTAAAGTCAGTTATGGCTCAAAATTATTCTGCCTTAACTATCTTCATATTGGAATGACGACTTGGAGCTCTGTGCTGTTTGTAAGCTTATGGAATTACAAACAATGCTTAACTATGATCTAGGTTTGATCCTTATTTATCAATGATTTTCTTTCCAAGAAAAGGTACACCCTCAAACAAATCATAGAGCAATGCTCCCATGTTGACTGCAGCACCATTTACAACAGCCAAGTGTTAGAATCCCCCTAAGTGTCCATCAACAGGTGAATGGATAAAGACATTCTGGTACATATACACGATGGAATATTACATACCCACAAAAAAGAATGAAGTCCTGCCCTGAGAAAGAACCTGGATGGAAGCGGAGAACATTGAGTGAAATACGCCAAGCACAGAAAGACAATCTCACGTGGTCTCAATCATATGTGGGAGCTAAATACTAAAAACAATTGATCTCATAGAGACAGTGCGTAGAATGATGGTTACTGGCCTCTAGGAAGGGAAGTGGGAAGGGGAGGATAACATGGGGTTAGCTAATGGGGGCAAAAATGTAGCTAAGTAGTCGGATAGAATAAACAATATTTGACAGTACAGCAAAGTGACTATAATCCATGCTAAACTTATACTTTAAAATAATGAAAAGTGACCCTACAAGGTTCCTAACACAAAGAGATGATAAATGCCTGAGCTGATGGGTACCCCAAATACCCTGATGTCCTGAATTCACATGATAGGTCTCCATCAAAACATCACATGTGCTCTGCAAAGATATACAACATTATTGTGTGCCTATAATAATTAAAAAGAAAAAAATCACAGAGCAAAGGCTGCTAACCAATTTCTCAATGTATAGTCTTCACCCAACTTTGTGAAAAGGTAATTCCCTAAAGGCTACATCCTAGATAATAGCTAATAATCAATATCACGGTGTTTGATAAAAACTATGACAATGAACACGCAGATTACCAAAAGGTATGTCATGAAGCTGATGACATACTGTGAAGAAAAGAGACTAAAATTTAGATTGCTGGATCACTCATTTACCAGATAAGCAAATCTGGACAAATTTATTCAACTTTTCTGAGCCTAAGTTTTCACATCCATAAAATGGAGATAACTTTTAGTCATACTATCATGGAGAAGAGAGAAAATATGTATAAGCACCATTCCTGGCTCATATTATTTGTGCAGAATTATGAATTTTCACTCTTTCTACAATGGTAATATTTCCCTCTTTAAAATGTCATATCAAGGCAATAGATGTATAAACTTCATAAGTTGAAAGTAAATTATAAATATGTAATGAAACACAGAAATTGTACAGTTCTGTGTTGTATCACAGAGAGAAAAAAGGATCACTGATGTGCCTCTCATGGCTACTCAAAGGACAGAAAATTTCCAGAACTTTCCAGAATGACTCCTAACACAATCCATTTTATACATTTTTAAAATATTGTTCTATTATTTTGCCACAAAAACCTCCAAACAAAACCCATTTGCCATGTTTCTCCTGTGGCTTCACATTCCCCTTGAATGTTGGGTACCCCGGGGCACCCGGTTTGAGAAGTTGAGTTCTAATGTAAACCCTTGATTTTACGACAGAAGAAACAGTCTTACCGAAGGTCACACAGTAAGTAGGAAATACGTTTATTGGTTAGATTTGTGGGGCGGTTCCCAGAGAAATGAATTGGCTTC